TATTAGGGAATAAAGTATTCTATTTGCACATAGAAAAATCTACCCTTTTTACTTACATTATTCCTCTCAGTTTTTGCTTCATTCCTGTGAACACACTGGAACAATCAATATCCCATTTCATGTTTGCAATTTCGGGTAAATTACATGGAACTTGACTTTTACAATCCTTTTACAGATAAGCAAACAAAGGGATAATGAATATTGCCACAATCAACACAGCAGATCAGTGGCACACTGCCAGGAGAATATGAGCCACAGTTCCCTGTCTGAAGCAGAAGAAAATACTGTTTCCTGGAGGGAGCTGTACTGGGTGAGATTTCATGCCATTCATACAATTACATAAAATTCTTCCTTGCTTGGGCTTTTTTTTGGAATAGGTCATGCGCATTGACATCTATCTAAGTAGGATTAGTTAACAAACTGTTAGACAACATTGAGAAGTGTACAGTAAGAATGCCAAAAATTTGAGGCAATTAAACATCAACATCTTTGGAAAGACTTTGCCAGAAATAGCTATGTAGCAGCTCAACTAAAATAAAATAACTAGTCTCATCAATACATTGCCTGTATGTACCCACACTTAAGTGTAAATATTTCCAATCTGACAAACAGACTTGGGCACAAAGATGCATTTCTGTCTTGACGAGTAAATTGAGAATAACCACCTATGATTCTGATGTTTTTACTTCAAATTAAACATTTCTGTAAACTTACATTCTCTGGAATCGGAACTCTTTCTGCTCTTGCAGCTTCTTCTTCTTTTTCTACTCATTCCTAACAACTGAGGGCATCTGAGTTCCACTCTTCTGTGTGGGAGGGAAAACACTGGATAATGAGAAAGTTTATCTGGAATAATTTTGATCTCTAACTCTCTCAGACTCTCTAATTTGCCTTTTCTCTTCCGTAAGAACTGACTGGTTATGATGAAAAATAGAAAAGTGCCAGAGCAGCAATGAATCTATTCTCTTCTCTTGGTTGTCTGGGACCCCATTTTCACAGGTTTCCAAACAACAGCTTAAAATCAAGGTCTGCCTAATCTCAGCTATGAGGCCTGAACCAATAGTCTCTGAAGACTATGGGAGATTTGGGCGGTGGCTGACCTTTACCAGCCTATTATTTTATCCAATTCTGATTTTTAGAGATTAATATTTTGTTTTAGGCATTAATTTTAAATTCAATCTTATTTATATACATAATGAAATACTTAATTGTTTTTTCTCTTGAGAAAAATTCAGACTCAATACAAGAGAATAAAAGGCCTCAGCTGGGACGGAGTGCCTAACTGAACTGCATGTAGAGCAAACCAGGACCAATCTGCACCTCACAGTTTGGGTTGTCCCTTGCATTTGTTCATGAGAAGAAGAAAACTTAGACATTTTTTTTCATCTCATAGTGAAGCTTGTTAAATGTAAGATTAACTGTTAATGCTGGTTTAGTATTGAAGACCTACTCCACTCAAAATTAAATGTCAGTGGAAAATTTCTAATAATTAATTTAAAAATATTATTCTTTTCACAAAATCAAGAAAATTAAAAGTTTAATGAAAAAGTTTAATTAAAATCTCCAGTGACAGAGGAGCCACGCAGAGTCGGGGAAGAATGTGTGGCTTTCCCCCGCTTCCTGAGAAGGAAGGAGCAGTGAGCTGATGATAACCCCCATCCCCTGCTCCCTGTGTCACTGAGGGGGAGAAGGTAGAGACACTGGGAGCAGAGCTGAGCCTGGGAAGAAGGAAGGGGTGGGGGGAAGGTGTTTTTGGATGTGGTGGTGCTTCTCACTGTCCCACCTTGTCTGTTAAGTGTTGTCTTTGTTATCATTTGAATTAAAGTGATGTTTTCTTTTCTTCCCCTAATAAGTCTGCCTTTTGCCGGTGACAGTAATAGGTGAGTACCCGTGTCATTATGCTTCATTTTATCCTTCCCATTCTTGACAGAGGGAAAGGGTGAGTGAACCAGCCCTCTGGGCTCAAACCACGACAAATCACTACAGATTGCTCTAAAGAAAACCTGAATTTTACTGAATGTCAAATGCACCTTACAGGCCAGGAATATGTTTAGTACATAAAGCGTTTAAAGACTTTTTTTAGGGAAGAATAATAGGCATGACTGTAATCAGTTAGCTGTGGATTTGAATTATGATGGCTTTGGGGATAAGGTTACCATGGTTCAAGGTGGATGGAGGAGTAGAAAATTAAGAATAACATTGAACAGTACCAGAAAGAAAACTGCAAAAAGGATGCTGGAATATTAAGGAAATAGAAAGTACTCTGGATCAATTCAAATGAAAATCATATTCATTTAAGTTTATCCTCACAGCTGTATGTTTCAGCCAGGTTTTGTCATAGCAAAACATCATATGACTTTGCAGAATAAATTGCAAAATAAATTTGCAGAATAAATATGTCTGAGATGGTCACTAGGTTTACTACTATTTAGATAGTGTTTAGTGGCATGGGATAATCTCAAAGTACTGAAGGCAGGTAGCACTGGTTCTCTACATGCTAGGACTGTGGGAAATTATCTAATACCTTCTAAAATTTATCTGAGCATACAGCCATGAAACCATCAGTAGAGATAACCACAGGTCAAATTTGTGCACAGCGGTAGGATTACAGATTTTGCTATGTGGTCAAAGAAGAAACGTAAGACCTAGGTGTCTCACCACCCTCACAGTGAAAAATTTCTTCCTTACATCTAATCTGAATCTACCCTCTTTCAGTTTAAAACCACTACCCCTCATCCTATCACTACACTCCCTGATAAAGAGTCCCTCCCCATCTTTCCTCTAGTGGTAGAACCAAGAATTCTCTAATGGATAACCAACAGATAGTCAGTTCTGTAAATGGTCCATACAGAGATCACATGATGATTTTAACACAAGTACTATATAATGAATATTTCAACTCATGGAGCAGTTTTTTCCAGTTGTATCAGTTTAACGCAGTAGATGTTCATATATTTATTATTGTATATGTAAAAACATTTTTTAAAATTAGCGTAGAGAACATACTTTATTGAGCACTGTACCTGTTATATTGAATAAAATAATTTTGTCTTCACCAAAAGTTCTGAAAAGATGTTTAAAAAAACCCCATGAATTGCAACTGCTGTTCACATTGTTGAACCTCTGCTATTCCTGTTTTAGAGGCCAAAGGAAAAACTGCTAATCTGAATGCTAGCTGGATTAGCCCTTTTCTTGTCAGTGAGTTTGTCATTCTGATATTTAGTGTGCTATCTTGCATTTTAGCCACTTTTATTTTTTGGCATGTAATTCATGCTTTGTCAGTAACAAACATGACAGCAGGTTAAGTGAAATAACCTTCAGATATGATGTGGCAATTGGTCCTGAAATTAGTAGAAATCTCACATGACCATTTCCAATAATGAAATATAATTTCTATACTCAAAGATGTTATTGTCAGTGAAGTACTACAGTCCTTTGTCCAGCTGAATTATTCAACCTTTTGAGCTTCCATCAAAATAGAAATAATGAAAATCCAAAATCTTTGATTATACTTGAAACTTAGCTCACCAAAAGAAACAAACGCAGTAGTTGTACACTATAACAATTTTATTTGAAAATGAGGTAGCATTTTATTTTTAGATTGTCTGTGACTGCAAAACATAAATAAGAAAAATCTTTAATTTCTCATAGAATGCAATAAGGGCAAACCTTCCCCTATCCTAACATCTCAGAGTTGATTTCTGGAATCTAAAATGGAGAAACCTAGATACGATATTTTCTGCTGTAAAGTTTCCAGGGTCACTTTCTCCAGAAGAGCAATTTATACTGCACAAATAAGGAGTAATTTGAGTTTAGAATGACAAAAAATGGGATTTTTAATATTGCATAGGCTCTTTCTAAGTTTTATCAGGTGTATTGAGAGGATGTCTACATTTCTTCATTGACCTGGAAGAGCTCCACTGTTAGAGTGCTTCTTTACTTAAAAATAAGTGCTTTACCAAAGGTAGTTTAGTATGCAGGATGATGAAATGGTAGGAGAAAAAGCCCTACTATCCAGACTTACTGAAGTGCTATAAACTGAGTTTGTAAACTTCTCTACTCAACAATATATAACAGTCCTTCTTAATCCTGTAGTCTTATCACAGTATTCCTCATATTCCACATCTGAAATACTAGTTCCAGAAAGACAACACAAATAACAAACTGAAGCTCATTCAGGTAGGCTTTCATTTCTAAAAGTATATATTACAACACTTTAAGTCCCTTTATGCTAAAATAAGATGGCAGATACGGTCTTAGGAATCAAAAATCCATTTTAGAAATCCCTATCATTTAGGAAACATTCTTATTTACTCACAATCAAAAACTCATCTAAAAAATCCCTTCTATTTAGGAAACTATCATTCTTATTTATTCAGAAAACTAAACTATATACTGAACTGTAACTGAAACTCTGTAAGCTCTATTTACTGTGTAAAAAACCTGCAGAAATTATATACTTTATAAAGGCTACGATGAGTTACAATACTTAGTATCCACAGACTACTACCTGGCAGGGTGTCATTTCAATTTAAAAAAAGAGAAGAAAAAAAGATCATTATACTTACTGTTACACTGAGCCAGTATTCATTTTACTCAGATATTTGCTTGCTATTATGGACTCTGTGAATAGTTTGCTTTTCTAAGCTCATGAAGGATGGGCTGGCTGTCTTGCTAAGGTTTAATAGGATAACAAGTTCACTTTTTTTTTTTTTTTACCTTTGGACTTATCCACTTCTGTACTGTCAATGCCAGTCAGCAATGATATGCTGTATGCACATATCCTTCCAATCCCTTAAAGCAATAAAGGATTACTAGTTATTTAACTCCCAATAGTTACAGCAGGTAAGAAAAACAGCAGCTCCTTACTAGGGCTTTACAAAATGTCAGCTTTGTCTGAAAAGTCTTAATCTGTCGGACTACCTAATTAAAATTAAAGGTAAAAGAGGAAGCAACACTGTTCACAATCTTGCTCCACTTCTTTTTCTATTTATGTTTCCTAAGCTCGGAATCTGATTAGTATATCTAATTCCATGAAGCATCATGACTGGTCTACCTTTAATGAGCCCATTGACTTCCACCTCTTTTTCCTTCACCTGTTGTAGAATTCCAGATGATTGTTTACCAGTTTAGCAATATTCCTATACAAAACACAAAATATAATGTTCGTGCTATCACTGGAATGACTTTATCTTTCATGTGTTTACACCTATCCAATATGAAAAATGAGATAAAAGAGGTGTACTTTCAGGGACCAATGCAAATTTTGTAAAAATCTCACGATCTGTATTGTAATTACATGATCTTACACGAGGTATCATTATATCATGACTTTACACCTTAGTAACAGCTAACAGTGGTATCAACTTTGTTTTGTGTTTCAACACCATCTATTTTTTTTCCACTTTATCAAATTACTATTTCTATTATTTGTAAATTATTATATTTTCAAAAATAGATGAAATACAGAATATTTACAAATTATATACTGAATAGAAGTTAACTGTCATTAGTGTGCAGGCAAATTGGGAGAAACAGCATCTCCAGAATCTTCTGCCCTGTACATCTGCATATAAGGAGTATTTTTTCGCTCTGGTACTATTGTAGAGGCAAGGGAGAAGAGAGCGAGATCATTGTCACACAACATGAACAAAACCTCTGTATTTTTAGTGCTTTAAGAAATACCATTTTCTTAATGTACTGCAATAACTTACTGGCAAGAAATAGTTTGCTTGCAAAGCTGCAGCCTTTTGCATAGGCAAATGACTCAAATCTTATGGAGGTCTTGCCCTGACCATATTCCAGTCAGAACCGTTACACCCTGCATTTAATTATTGCTGAATTTAATTTGGCACTTTCCTAAATTGCTCTAGTTGCTAAATAACTACAGCATTCAGCTCTTCAGTTAAGTATTTTATATGTAATCTGTAAACAGTAACTACCCTTTAGAAAATTTCTATGCATAAATATTTTCAAACTAAAACTCAATCCTATGACCTACAAACAAGTAAAATTAACCAACAAAAAGCCAGGAAAAGTTTCACTTTAAATAAGAGATTAAAATTATCAAATTAGTTTTCTTAAGTGATATTTGTCATCTTCTCTGTGAATGGTTCATCTGTTGAGGAGGGAAAGAAGAAAAGAAGGCTTAAAAAGGACTGTTGGTTTAGCTTTTGAAAATACATCTGTATTAAAAATTGTTGCAAGACCAGAAGGTATTAAAACTTAAAGATCATTAAAATGTTACTCTTAAACTGAGATATTATTGAAGCATTGTTTTGTTTTTCAAACTATTCTTTTTCTGCTTTTTTCATGCAGTAAAATTAAATTTTAAAGATTATTTATTAGCATTGTAATTGCAGATATATATTATTTATACATATTCTCAACTAAAAAAATAGTCTGATTCTGAGTATCAGTATTGTTTATGGATACTTTCTTCTGAGTTTCACAGTTACAAACACAGCTCTGTAGCAACCTTCCATAAGTTCCTACATGAAAAGTGAATATTAGGATGCGTCTTATACATGTATTTTTAGTTACTCCAGTGTGACATATTATTTACCTTTATGCTACCTATATTTGCTCTTTGCTTTATCCTCCTTCTTTCCTCTGTTCCTCGTTCCTTCCTTGTTCATCTTTCTTAACGTGTAATCACTCTAATACTAGTTAAAAATTCCTTCCATTGCTTAGCTTCCACCACTGCACACTGTCTGATGTTCTCCTTTACTTGTATGAACAACCACCAACTAGGCTTCCTTCTGTCCCACAATTTTTTTAAACATTTAATTCCACTGATAACGCATGGTCCTGCTGGTAACTGTAGTTCATGACAGATTTTCATATTTCCCCTTCTCTGTAAAAGCAATTTTTAAGGAAGTGTATTGCTTCTTTCTCATTTACAGATGGCTCAGTAGATAACCTGATTGTCTTCATTTGTAGGTATAGCTGAAACAAGGGAGAAAATGAAGCAATGTAATGATTTGTCAGCAGTTCCATGTCTGTCAGAATTGTTTCTTGCTTTCAATTTTGATATGCACTGCCTTAAAAAAAAATAAGCTGTTGAGCATAGTATGATACTGGATGGAAAAAAAAAATAGAACTATTAGGATTTGTAAAGCATTTTTACTAATTCCAGTTTGCAGATAATTTTGAAATAAATCCAACATCATTCACTGATTCAAAATATTCAAATTACTATGAATAAACAAATCACTATATGATAATAAGTTAATATTTATAACTATCATTGTATTTCCTTTGGGTCATCTGCATTCCTTTTTATATTACTGCAATGACTGCGTAATCACAGACTACTGAACCATTACATAATTACAATAATTATAAAAACAGTATACTTCTATAACCTTCCATTTTGAAAGAATACGAAGTTAACATTCTTTTCAATAATGCAACAAATTAAGGCACAAATCCAAACTGTAGCATTAAATATACATAAGTAAGTATTTTAATTCCTGTATTGCTTTTCAAGTCTTACAGCTGGGGTTAATGTAAAATTCTTAGAAGAACTTGGTACAAATTTTGAGATACTATGTCTGCTTTAATTAATCTACCTTTCTCCTCCATTACTCTACAGTTCTATATCTAACTATTGGAAAATGAAGTAACTCACAAAAATATTTAATATTTAGGTTCTGGGTGATGGTTCTCCAATACCTTTTTCATAAGCAAACTATGGTGTTATACCTTTAAATTCAGGCTGATGTACAATTGGGTAAGTGCAGGCCAAATCAGACTGGATGAGTAAATACTCTGCTTAGAGTATTAATGTAAAAGATACAGAGTACTACATATTCACCATTTAAGTATGCTATTAGCTTAAAAATAACCACTGGTGATAGGACTTTCAGCACTGTGCCAGGCAGAATTTAAAGACTGGAGATAGGAAAAAATGAGAAAGAAACAATTCAGATAAAATAGGAGGAAGTATGAACAGAGTTCAAACAGTAGGCAAGGTCAGGCCTCTTTTGTAATGCTGTGACTCCTTCCAGTAGGGGACAGGAAAGATCAAATCAAACATTAAAAGCTTAATAGTAAAAAGCATAATAATTTGATTCTGAAATACAAAAGCAGCCTTTGCATGACAAGGTACCAATTTTACCTATTTGCTGCTTGATTGCTTGGGATAATCACCGGTCCAGTTCTAACTTAGATCTGAAAAAACTTACAAAGGTGTGCATTGTTTAGCTCAGAAACCAAAGGAAAGACTCAAAACTTCATGCGGTTGCATATTTACTAAATGAACAGCTCCTTCTAATTTATTCCCGCTTTAGTATTCACTGTAAGTAGTAATTTAACTTAAAGAAATCAATTATTTGAATTAAAGATTAGCGTTCATTCCAATCCAATGTTTTATCAACTGGTGCGCAATAGCTTGACTTGGTGGTAAGAAGAAAGAATGCTGGTTTCCTTTAATGAGAACTTCCACGACCTGTAATAAAGACAGATTTTTGGTTTTTTTTAGAAGGTAGTATTATAAACTATATGGAATCTAACATTGTATTAATGCAGGAATTATCTTACTATGATGATCCACCAGTCTATCATTACTGTAGCTATTAAAAAGCCACTATCTGACTCTCCACAAGATGCAGAGAAAAAGCCACACAGGATTCTTTGTGAATTCTGACATTTTTGAGCATAAAAGTGCCTCAAAGGAGACTGTCTTTCTAATACAACTGTAGAGACTGTTAATATAGTATCTAAGCTTTTGTGAAGCTTCTTCACAGTAAGGACCACCAGATGGTGCTCTACACTGTTCCATAAATCATTCTTTTTTTATTAAATCCACATAAAGTGCAGGAGGAAATGTGTTTTGTTGGCTTTCTCAAGCAGTTGCAAGCAACTGAGAAGTACACTTTTAGTTTACCACATTTCTGAAGTACACTTATTTCCAACTCTAGAGCAATCTGCATGTGGCCAGATGTATTTAGAGCTGATATTCATTTAGAAGAATGCTTTCAGGGTTGTCAGGAATACACTGAGATTGTAGGTGACTAACTCTGCCTTCAAGTTGACTTGCAGAGTCAAAACACAACTGCTACGCAGAAATACAATGTTATTAAAAGTTTAGCTCATAAATAGAGTGTGGAAACACCTGTGAAGGCTCTGTTGTGTAAGCAATCTTTCCCTTTTCCACTCATAAACTTAAATCTCTCTTTCTGTGAAAGTCATTTTTTCCTCTTTTATTTGACTATACTTTAAATATTCAGGAAAGTGTAGAATATCATATTAATCCATAGTAAACTCCATTCAGTACCAGAGTATTAAAATAGTACTGTATGGAAAAACGTGTTCAAACTAATGAAGTCCTATACTTTTTACCTAAAACTCCCTGCTCCCAGCAAATCTGGTAGCATGCTTCTTTGGAGAAACTCATGATGAATGCTACTGAATACTACTTCTGCCAAAAGGAAAAGCACAGGCTTGCTAAGAAAGTGGGTTAACATAACAATAACTTGGTTATCTCCCAAAAGGAAAAGGTGAAAAGCTAACTGGCAAAAACATCATAAAACAGGCTTGCAAGTGACTCAGAAATTACCACAAATACCTGACTTTCTCTGGTTGTGTGTAATCTACAATTCCAATATAATGCTACTGTAGTACGATAAAATGGATACTATACATGCTCATCCAACTTGCTGAAAAAAGAAAGTATCTATCGTATGCCAGAACCAATACAGTCACAGACGAATCAATACAAGAAGGAAATTAAATTGAACTTTACCTCTTCTCTACTGAACCAATGGGCTTCCTCTATTTCATTCTTGTCAACTTTAATTTCTGTAGACATTGCAACAGCTAAGCAGCCAATCATTAGGGAGGAGGGCATTGGCCATGGCTGACAAGAGACATACTGAACATGGCCAACTTTGACTCCAGCCTCTTCTTCTACTTCCCTTCTAACAGCATCTTCTATTGTTTCACCTAATCAAAAAGGAAAAAGAACAAGCAGCTGATGAAAATACTCCAAGCAGTGATTATATCCTGTGCTTTGAACTGACTCAGAAGATTTGAAACCGCCCAAGACAATTAACTATAGAGATCTAGTTCACAGACCAGAGTGCAGACAGTAAGCACAAGATGCAGAAGTCTAATAAGGCAAAACTAGCTACCAAAGCAAAATGGAACTTTTAAAATGAAGTATGATTATCTCTCCATCAAAACATTTATTTCCTGAACTGATAATTTATCATACATGTAAACTAATATTAGCACACCTAAAATGTCAAGAAGAGAGTAGGCAATACATTGCTCCTTTAATTACTTTTCAAATGATAGTATGTTAATTTATAAATAGCACTGTGTTAATCTGCTAGATTTTCAGTAAGATTGTAACAGCATGTAATGCAACTTGAAAATCAGTATTTAAAATTAAAATAGAAAATAGAGACTTAAGAAGATTTGCACACATTTCTGCATTGTATTACTCACTTTGTGAATTCTTGTATTTATTCATGCATTTTCCATTGCCTTAACACATACAGACAATTCTTCAAACTTATACTGCAATAAAAAGCTTTACTTCCATATTCACTGAAAACTGCTAGATGTCTATGTGGAGTGTTGATGGTCATAGGCTTAATTACGTATGCATACCTGTACTGTGTTGTAACCACTGATTACAGGTTAATTGAAGCAGACAATCCAAGCATCAGAAATAGAACTTTTAGTTGAGCTATGTTAAGCTGATTAGAAGCTGATGATAAGATCAGCTGCTCTTAAATTTCAGTTTATATGCCTGAATTCAGTATCAGAAAGTAATAAGGCCAGTAGAATAAAGAAACAAGTGAAGAAATAAACATCTTTACTTTTTTCAAATGATACCTAAATAAACTTATCCATTCTCTCACCTTATTTCACCTGCAGTTACTGAATACAGTCATACACTATAGTTTCATTGGTGATTAAGATGTATTGCCGATATAAGAATGTTTTACAAATTGTTCTGCAGATACTAAATATTGTAACTAATTCCAACTACTATTGCTGAACCCAGATAGCAAAATATCTCTTTACTTTTATTTTGAAATTATATAATTTCTGCTTCTCTCCCATATAACCAAATAGGCCCTAAGCATGTAAGCATATGCTTACCTTTATGTTAACTTTAGTTATGCTTTAACTCTTATTTTTCCTATGCTAAAATCCCTTGCTAAGTATCACCAAAGAAAGGACCTTATATGTGTTTTAAAATATTTTTTCACTTAAATATGTGATTTAAGAGTGCATGATGAGAAAACTATTTTAAAATCATACTTACTCAAGTCACTTTTTCCTTTTTTAATAGAACAGCTGCTATAAAGTACAGAACAGGTATACTTATTACAACAGTTTATCTAGCAAGAAGCAAAACCAGTTACTTGACATAACATCAAACATACTTCTATATTATTTTCAATGTACAATACTGGTATGTGAGAAAAACCATTTGGTAAGGGAAAATGAAATTACACACCAGGTTCTACAAATCCAGCAAGACAGGTAAACATTCCTGGGGGAAACCTCTTCTGCCTACCTAAAAGGCAGTGGTTCCCATCTGGATGGATGACTTGCATTATCACAACAGGATCTGTAAGGGACATGAAAGGAATATATTTCAGTATTTGAGGGACTTAAAAGCAGTGATAAATTTCAGCCTATTTGATACCAGTGCACGTGAACACAAGTAAGATAGCTTTAAGTGACTGAAATTAGAATTGTGAAGATGTGCAGAGCAAGTTGTTATTTTATTTCACTTTGGGTTTTTTAAACTATACAAGATATCTGTTTATTTTGTTTTGCAACATACATGCTTAGCAGAAGCAGTTTACTAGCCAAGGCTTGAAATGCAGGACATAAGTTGCCTGCAGCCAAAGCACAAAATCTGTTAAACGTATCAGCAATATTAACCTAGCCATGCACCCAGCAGGCAGCAATAACTTCTGCAGCAACACCAATTCACCATCACCTCCTCTACAAACACAGGTCTGAAGAATGTACTTTTGACTAAAATACCAAAGAAGGGCCAGATACTCTAATTACAATGTAAATACTGACTAAGCTTTCCACTTTTAACTTTGCTGTTTGCTATCAATCTCTCATCTGATGTTGCGCTTTGGTAATTTTATATATAATTTTCTCTTTTGCTTAATATTTTCTCCTATCGGTTTCATTCTTTTTGTCATGCCTTTCTGCATGCTGTTCATCTATGATCTTTCTCCCCTTTTTATTGCTATCTAGCTCTTAAGTATCCCAATGTTTTGTTTTAATTTTTTTCTATCTACCTCTGCCTTTATATATTTTTTTCTCTTGCTGTTGTTCTTCATGGGTTTTATTTTGGTTCAGAACACTAGTATTTTCTCTGTATGAAAAGGCAACCACTATAAACTATAATTTCAAAGACTGTTGTCCTGCTCAAAGGTATCTGCCCCATGGCACAGTGTAGAATATGCAGTGTTACTGTCTGTAAACATTTTTCAGAGAAAGGCATCAGTAGAAAATGCTGGTTCATCAGTCTTTCCTATATAATCCCATTCCTTCTCTAAGTTTTTTGTGCTAAAGACTGTAAAGAAACAGCCACCAGTATTTTAGCAAGCTTCAATGTAGTTCATAAGATGAAATAACATGGCAGAATTGCTTTGATTACTACAAAGATATATCTAGAGCATGTAAGAGAACATCAAATTCATAAGTAAAACACACATAAAACATCCGTAAGTACAACTGCATAAGAGAGGACAGGGTAGGGGGAGGAAAGGTGATCAAAGGGCCACCAAATTACCCAAGAAAAAAAGGGGTAAGTATTTTTTTGTTCATTGTTTCCCCATCAGTAACGTAGTACACCTCCTTTTCAACAGATGAACAAAAGGAGCTATAAAAGACTGTCTACACAAGCTTATAACCTGGGTAGAAATAGATCTGGCAGTTTGTGACTGACTGAATAGTGAAAGCCAGTGAAGATGACTAATACAGTCAAAGTGGTACTACAGGAAAATGAGCACTGTATCAGAAATCTGACAGGGGCCAAATTTGATACAGAGCTATTTCAAGCTCAGATGCCTTACAGAAGGTGAGAAAGTAATAAGCAGGAAAAAAAAGTAAAATGTGACTGTATTGATAATACTTCATTTATGTTGTTGGAACTTCTAATTGATATTGCATTGCAATGAAGATTGGCATTGCCAGTGCAATTCTTTGTCACTGACTACTGCAACAAAAAGAAGCCAGGACTACTTAATCCTAAACAGAGCTGAGACACACTTACTCTGGGGAGAGACAAGTATGTAAGACCTGGGACAGAAGCAAGCAGTTGAAATAAGAAATTGATTTACATGTATGTAATAACACAAACATGCCACTTTTGACAAAGTTTATCCTACAATATTCTCACCAACTCTTGGATACGATGTATTGTGAACACCTTGGAGACTGGGACAATCTTCTTTTAAGCAAGTTTTCTTGTAACCCCCTTCTTCAATCTTGGTTGCACTCCCACATGTTGGGCAGAAACGGTAGCGGCTGTGCCATGCTAGAACAGATCTAGCCTGGGCTACTACTCCTTTAAAATAATACATTGAAAATACACCAAATAAATACTAATTCATGTAAGCTTTTAATGGTATAGAAAAAGCAAGTAGTAAAGTTTAACATGAAAATCAAGGTAAGACTATGTTAAGGTAAGACCTAACCTATTTTTAATGTACTACAAGAGAAGTTGAGCAATATTAAATTATTCAGATGTTTTTCTTTGTAGCACAGCACATGCAATAGAGCACAGTATGTGTAGCTACAGACCAATTTATGCATTCAGAAACAGATTAATCGAGATCGATATACTGTTTCTCACCACAGTTACTTTGTCTGGGCAAAGTGCCATAATTCTATATCACATCTTTTCCACATGACCATGTTAGGGCTACTAGCATAATAATGCATTGTTCCATTCAAACTTCAGGTGCAAGTCAAGCTTGCCCTTTATCCTTCTGTAAAAGTGAAATTGTTAGAGCAGCAGTTGTTAACATGTCCATACTGTCATTCATTCACTCTGGGATCCTGACTTTCCAACACTTGCTCATACTGCTTCCTTCTCGGAAGAGTATCCAACACACTCTTATTAAGTACAGTTTAATTTATTGTAATGAAAACTCAGTAATGACAGGTATTTTTCTTTGGCTTAGAAGAGTAATGCTCATGCATTAATATTTAAACAGTACCATTTATAAAACCATGATAATCAATAGATTTTACAGTCTAATACTTGTCATTGCAGATGTTAGTCCTTTGCAACTGCACATTTTCTTACATACAAAATTCTTTATAAAACCACTGCCAGGCTTTTGAAATTAAAATCTTTTTAAAGCCACTGCTAACGCCCAATTCCTTTGCAGTAGTTTGTCCATGCATCATACCTCAGTAAAGCCCAAAGCATTTTTTGCTGATTAGATGTTTGATAACTGCTGCATTTTAAGCACCTTACCAGCTTCTTTTTCTGGTAGCTGCAGTAGCGCTGGTGTTGGTGGGTGAAGAAAGTAACAGTTCTCATGCTTCTGTTTAAATTTCTCAGCAGAAGCAGAATCTATGCTAAGAGCAAACCAAGCAACTAACTCATCCTCTTCATCTTCTTGCAGAACTCTTCCATTGCAAGCAGCCAGCAAGTCTATCTGGAACTGAAGTTCAATTCCAAGAAAAATCAAGGTGCCTTCTTCAGTTTGGTTCATGTACTGCTCTACATCCTTGTGGTACAGCCTGCAAAGCTTTACCTGTGGCTCCTGGGAGCTCTCTTTTCGCCCATCCAAAGTAACCAAAGGACTTAGATTTGAGAAGAGGATGTATACTGTAGTTGGATGGCTTTGTTTTTTGCTTAGCCACCTGGAATCTGTTCTTTTATCACTCCTTCTGTCCAGAAGTGTCAAGCCAAAATAATTTTCATATTTTTTCACTTCATTTGACAGAAAATTAGGCATATGCCCACCCTTCACATTAGCCAACAAATCAGCTATGTGCTTGTACCCCCAAAATTTAGCGATGTCCAGAGCTGTCTGCCTTGATTTATTGATGATGGACCTGTCACATCTAAAGAAACAGAAAAGAACAGTGGTTACCAGAGTAAATATGTTTAGGAAGAGTCTTGGTGATGTATTATTCTCACTTACAGCATATACATCTGATACTATTAAGGTGCAAAAACTTTTAGACACTTTGTCTATACTGGGGCACTCTCTAGCCTAAGCACTTAGCATTATGGTAGTGAAAAGTAATCATACTTCATTTTCTTTTGCCAAGGCCAGATTCCACATTTTTGTCGATCCACTCCAGATGATCACTTACCAAAGTTCATGCAGTACTACAACAGCAACGAATGAATTAAATCCCACACATTGTATTATGCCAAAAGAATAAAAAAAAAAGCTGAAGATGATTAACAGATAGAACTTTGAAAGCCAGGCTCCAGGTTTCTTCTGAATAATCAGTAATAAAAAAAAGCAGTTTAACTAGCATTACTTTCTGGAAGCTACCAAAAGCAGCATCAAAACATTTACGATAAGGTATTTACACTTAAATAAGAATCAAGAATAGAGCCTCTGCTTAGTGAGAGAAGTAGCATGCTTATAACCATGGTGCAGGTCCCTGTAGGGATCTCTTTGTCACAAAAATGTCTACAAAATAACATAGGTGAGGAAACATCGCCTCATGATACATATAAAATAATGCACTTTTTTTTGTCAATTTTAACTCATGTGGATAAATAAACCAGAAATGTAACTATTAATTACAAATTATCCAATAGATGTGGGGCCACACTCATCATTTCATCATTTTTTAGACCCAAAAGATGCCAGCATAATCGTGATGCTGGTACACAGGTAGCTGTATCACAGGCAAGACTGTTTTGACCTGAGTTTTATATTAACCTCTGTAGAAAAGTATTCAAAACGTAAATGACAAGATTTTGGTGCTAAAGAAACCACTGTTGCCCATTTATCTTTAAAGAGTAAGCCTCCTTTAGGTGAAATCTTGCCTAATTTTCTACTTAATTTTTTATTTCTCAGCCACTGAATTTTATTCTGATTTTGTCCTCCCCCTTCTATCTGCTCAAGTATGTGCAGACTATGATCAGGCTGTTATTCAGTGTCCACAACAGTGGCCTGAACTGCTCAGGTCACTAAGATCTTTTTTTCCAGCCTACAAACATTTCCTGTAGCTTTTCTCAAACATGAATGAACATTAAAAAGTGACTAGCTTTCCAGGATTAGTCTCTGGAATGTTATTTAATATTACCTACATAGACATACATGTTTATATATCCAGTGATTGTATTTCTCCAAATGGTTATTATGACTAAGCATTAACTAAAATGAGATCAATGAGGCCACAGCATCACTTCAGGAACTACATTAAATTCCCTAAGAGAACAGTCCTGAAAAGTGCATTTACAAGCAGGTATTTGCTCTTTTTTTACAGTAAGCATAACTTAAAAAACTGTTACCCTATTTACCAAACTGGTAAACGCCCCAAAATCTCAAAAGATTCCTCAATATACTGATGATTTCAATCATCTGTGTATTAATGTAGAGTTCAGTTGAACTGCAACACTTGACTCTCACCCTTCATTCCAAAATGTTTTCCATTGGAAATATTTGGATCCCAACTTTATTCAGGCTTCAGAAGAATCTTGTTTGGGGTCTCAAGGAGAAGATTGAAGCATTTTTGCTTTTCTGGTTGTCTTGAAAAACTAGAACTACAACAGTTGACTTGAAGATAGACAACAAATATGATAGCAAGTTTTTGACACAGAATGAACATGCTTGGCATCATAATGACTAAAGAAAATAACGTGACAACTCAAAGAAGGAGGAAGTAAATTGTCTAAAAAATGAGACAAATTAAATTAATCAGTCACTTTAGTAAAGGTGTGTCTGTCACGTCCCACATAGCAGCCAGTATGTCAGTAAGCATTCTGCATTGTAATGCAGGTGCAAGTCGATTACAAATTAAGTTTAGAGAAAAAGTCTAAGTGGAACAAATACACCAAATTTATACTCAGTACAGTGGCTGGAATGTGATACAAACTCTGTTCTATACTGTTAGTCTCTGGGACGAATGACAATATACCCTTGAAGAGTAAATGAGTAATTTTAGAGATGATCGTAACTTTTAATGAGTTGCTTAACAAATATGGAAAGCATGATGCATTAGTAGAGTCCAGTTATAAACAGACATAGAGTATATTTTCACATAATGGTTTGGGTTGGAAGGGACCTTAAAGTTCCAACCTCCCCTGCCACGGGCAGGGACACCTTCCACTAGATCAGGTTGGTCAAAGCCTCATCCAACCTGGCCCTGAACACTTCCAGTGAGGGGGAAATCTGTTCAGTGTCTCAGAACTCTCCCAGTAAAGAACTTCTTCCTTATGGCTAATCTAAATCTACCACCTTTCAGTTTAAAACCATTACCCCTCGTCCTATCACTACACTCCCTGAAAGAGACTCCCTCCGCATCTTTCTTGTAGGGCCCCTTTAACCACTGGAAGGCTGCTATAAGGTCACCCTGGAGCCTTCTCTTCTCTAGACTGAACAACCCCTCATAAGGCAGGTGTTCAGCCTTCCTCTGGACCTGTTCCATCATGTCCATGTCCTTATCTTAGGGGCCTCAGAGCTGAACACTGTACTACAGGTAGGATCTCATGACAGCAGAGTAGAGGGAGGGGGAGAATCACCTCCCTCGACCTGCAGGTCATGCTTCTTTTGATGCAGACCAATACATCATTGGCTTTCTGGGCTGCAATGCACATTACTGGCTCATATTCAATCTTCCATTCACTAGTACCCCCAAGTCCTTCTCTGAAGGGCTGCTCTCAATTGACTCATCACCCAGCCTGTATTTGTACTTGGGATTGCCTTGTCCTTGTTGAACTTCATGAGGTCTGCACAGGCCACATCTGGAGCCTGTCACGGTCCCTCTGCATGGCATCCGTTCCCACCACCGTGCTGACTGCATAGCTTGGTGTTGTTGGAAAACTTGCTGAGGGTGCACTCAACCCCACTGTCCATGTTACCAACAAAAATGTTAAACATCACTGGTTCCAATACTGATCCCTGAGGAATTCCACTAGTCACTGCTTTCCACTTTCCTGAATTTTAACTCTGAAAATTCTGCCATTACATATCAAGGTAGATTCACTTTTCTGAGACCAAGTTGAAATGGGTAGAAAGGGATTCAGGTCAGAGCTACTAAATGGGATCTCCTAAACAGCTTACCCTTTTTCAAGAAGAATCTGGACAACCTCAAGGTGTCCATTTCTGGCACCATACATCAGGGCTGTCCAGCCGTTATCTGCAGCTGCATTGATAAGTGATGGAGAATGACTGAGCAATGCTTTTATCTTGTCTGCATCTCCAACAGCAGCAAAATTATGCAGCTGAGAAATGATGTCCTTATGGAGGTTCTTTTCAGAGTCTGCCATTTTGTCAACTAAGCTAAAAAAAGAAAACAAAAATGCCTGAAAACATATCCACCATTAGTAAAAGTACTTAAGTAAACTAATTTTAACACTAGACAGATAACCAACATTACCACCAAAAGTATGGACAAAACAGTCAAATTCTTCTAATTAGCATGTCATTGTTATTCCTAACCAAACTTTAGTTAAACACATATCCAAATACAGTGAAATTTTACCCTAAAAGTCAAAACTAGCTTTCAGAAGAATTAAGGAGAGAAAGATTTTGCTATGAAAATGAAGCTTCTTTGAATGTGAAAAACATGTTCCGGTTTCCTAATTGAAAACACACAGACACACACACAGACACACTGACACAGACACACACAGAGACACACAGAGACACACACAGACACACCCCCACACAGACACACCCCCCCCACACACACCCACCCCCACACGCACCCCCCCACACCCCCCCAGTCCAAGATAAGTCTCGGATGCTTTGGAAACAATGAAAAATAATGCAAAAGGGAAAGTCCGTTTACAGGCTGAGGGACACCTCAAAGCAGCAACATACTACTTTAGCGTCTGCTACGCCTACGGTGGCCGCCCACCCCTCCCCCCCCGGGGCAAGACCGCCGGGGCCGCCTTTGGCACCCGGTACCCTCGCAAAACAACAAAAGCTTATATTCCATAGGACCCGCTCCACGACCACCTCTCAAAGACACACGCAGACACACGCCATTTTCTGCACCGGACCTAAAACCTCGAGGACCTCTGTCACGGCCCTTCTGGTCGCCTGACCGCTTGGCTCCGCCCCCGACCGCGGTGCGCCAAGGCGGATGCCGCTCGGGCGCAACCGCCCCGCCCTACCCCCTCCTCTTTGCGCCGTTTTTGCAAGGGGCGGGGGTTTGCCGCCGCCTGACACCGAGGCGAGGCGCGGCGAGGGCGGCCTGGCTGCGGCGTGCGGAGAGCAGCGATGGCGGGGGAGGGGGGGGGCGCTGAGGAACGCCGCGCGCGGGCCGCGAGCTTGGGCGGTGACGTCGCTCCCGGCACCCGCAGGCGGCTACCGTTACCGGGAGCGGTTGGGGCGGTGCTGCTCTTCCGCAGCTGCGGGGGGCGCGTCCCGGGGCTGCGCGGGTGGTGGCGGGGGACGTGCGGTGAGCCGCGGCCGGCCGGCCGGGAGATCCGCCCTGGCGCTCGGCAGTACTGCAGCGGCCGGGCTTTGCAGCGGCCGCCGGCCTTCGGCCTTCGGTGCCGTCCTCCTCCCGGGGCCGAGGGGACGGCGGAGGCGGGCGGGGCCGCGGCGAGGGAGGAGCAGCGAGCTGCCGCTGGTGGGAATCGGCCACCGTTGCCCGGGTGCTGATGCCAGTTGTGCCAACTGGCTGGACAGGTCAAAGGGCAACCGGCCATTTTGTCTTCCAGGCGGGAAGCTTCTAGGTATAGAAAGCAAACCTTTTTAGCTTTGCTTCACCAATCTAGTAGAAGGCAAGGCCAAGTAGCAATAGGAGATGCGAGTACTTGTGAGAAAAGTGAGATGTCATGTCAAGGGAGATGAGTTAGCAGGGAAGATGGAATAATTACACAGGCCAGAAGATAGTAAAAGTGTGCTGTTAGTCTAAGAAAAGCTTTGGGAAATCAAGGCGGTACTGGTATATTAATATACATTAATTTGTCTTTTTACGTTTGATTTGCTTGTAATTTCAACATCTGTTCACCCAGAAGTCCACACCAGACAGGTGGTTCCTCACCAGATCGCCCTTAATGGGTGTTCTGCGTAAACTATTAGTATGGTCAGACCATAGCTGGTGACTCTCTAAAGTGTAGGCTCTGAAAGACGCTTTTTTTTTTCGACATCATACTTGAGATTTCAGAGTTTTTGTGTGCCACTCTCCCCACCCTGTGCCTTTTCCAAGTTTGTGTAACACACAATTGACAACATTTAAAATAACAGGGATTGTGCTATGTTGTACCTGTGCTGCTTGCATGTACTATCCTATTACTCAAGGGCACTGTAATTTTTGAATCACAGTATTTCAGAAGGCTGAGCATGGATGTTGAGAAATAAATGATTAAAGGATGCAGTTTTTTCTTGCTGATGGGAGTGTAGGCCATACAAATGTTTCTTATCAAGTACAAGGACCACTAATCTCATTGACTCTTGTGTAAGCCTGATCAGATGCAGGCCTTCCTAATGATTATACCATTGAAGAGGAGTTGAGAGACTAATAAGAGGGGAACATCCAGCCCCAGAAGGTGCCAGGGACTGGATGATTGCCCAAGAACCATGAAGTCAGCAAAAACCTGTGGTAACTGTGAGAGAGGTAAAAGCGGCAGGGGGGGATTGTGACAACTGACTCCATTCAAGACTGAAAAACTTTACCCCAACACCCGTAAGGATCATGTGTGTGCTGATTTACACAGCAAGCAAGGCTAATTTAAATATAACTAACCGAGAGCAGATGCAATGGTAATTACAGACCAATGAGTGTAAACTTAGATAGGTTTTTGCTAATCATTTAACAAGATAAACAGGGTGTAGTTCATTTGTGTAATGTGCTAGCTGTGTGGAATTACCACCTAGAACCTGGTTTTGTACAAACATGGAATAAACAGTTATCTGGACTCTGTAAGATTGTTTTTTTTGCACAGTAGGTAACAAACCCTGTTTGAAGGACAACCGCAGTGTACGTTACCTGTGTCGTGACATCATGTCAACAGTCTCCAACTTGCATGATTGTAAGGGCTTAAGTGGAATTTACGCCATCTCCCAGTGCATCATTGGAAAAATAACAGTACCCCTTGTTTTAAATACTGGTAACTATAATAAAAAAACTGAATGGGAATTTAAAGTGATCATAACATATCAACTCATGAGTTTTAAAATGTTTTAGTTCTGCTAACAGCTTTAGTTATTGTGCTGGATACTTTAATCACTGAGCTGAATTTTCTAAGAGCAAGTTAATGATTCTTTAGAATTAAAATAAGCAGTGGTAGCTTGCTTTAGAAGCTGTTTTTTCCTTTGCTTCCTATTCAACATCTATGTAAAGCTTACTGAGAAGATCAAAGTGGTGCTAGACTTGGCTGTCCCTTCTTGAATTTTGTAATAAATAAATACTGGCCAGTATGGGCTTTGACTTAACTGATTCTCTTAGCTCTTTAGTAGTGGGAGCCATTGTTCTAAAGGTGTATTTGTAAGGCTTCTAGAGTTTGAGTGAGGTTGTCCATGTGAGAATGGAAATGGATGCTGTGCCACTAATTTACTCTGATTGTGAGAGAGATTCTAGTGGCTCTGTATTGATAGTGACTAATGATAATCTTTTCAAAATGCTTGGTTATTACTGCAGACATCAAACAAAAAATAATATCTGAATCCTCTGGTACCCTATTCATTTTGTGTTGCAGCCTCTAGAAAAAAATTACATGTACTGTAAAGAGTACTGAAGTTCCATTGGGAGCATTGTAGTGTGCAGGCAAAATAGAGTTGGAGTGTCTGCAAGTGAGACAACACTACGCCTTTTAGGCTAAAAGATGACAAAATGATAGTACAAATGAAGAGAAGCAGTCTGAAGAGAAGTGTTGATCCTTAGTGTTTTCATAACCCTACTTGCAAAAGCTTAGCAATACACAGCATTTGTGAAAATAGGCTTTTAGTATTACTATGGAGAAGTTGCAGAAGGAGACCTCTGAGCCAGAAACTACCGTAAGTTTAGGTTCTCCCAAAGCATGTAGCTGTTCAGGGACTCCAAATGCCTAAAGAGTTTAAAAAAAAAAAAAAAAAGTTTAAAAGGAAGAAACTTGAAGAGAATACTCTGAACTTCCTCTGAAGTGGATGTGGTATATGTAAATAAAAGTAACATCTGAATGTATGAATAGTGACCCTCCCCCGCTGAACATTCTTAGAAGCATCATCTCTGGGATTTTACAGTATGAGACTCTTAAAGGCTGTGTGCCTCTCCCAAATTAGTAGTTAGAAGATAACTGAAAAATAAATGGGAATATGGACTACTGAATTTGGAATACATTTTTGGGGGATTCATTCATACTGTTAGCAATCACAATTGCGAAGAAAACATCTACACAAAGTAGATAAGCAGGGACTTTATTCCAGCACTGGGGAACACGGGGGATAGCTTCACCAAAGATTTGTTCACCAACAGGTACAAAGCAAAACATATTTATACGCTTTTTTTAGCAGTCATCGTTACATAAGGCTCAAAAATGCATAGAATGCTCGCTTCTTAATTTGACCTTTATAATGATTGGCTCTATCAATTACCTCACCTTATCCATACTTCTAAGTAATCATTGGTTAACCTCACTGATTGTAATTCTTAATATTAAAATCAAAGAGGGGAGGGTAGTGATTAGCACATTCATGTTATTTCCTGGAAACCATTATCATGTGCTAATGTCCCTAACACATGCGTGGTTATGTTGGACGGGGGTCCTCTGGTGGTTGTTGATAGTCTTCCTCACTGTGTCCACTGGTTGAACTCCATCGTTGTGCATGCTCATTTAATCCTTTGGCTGATCTCCCAAACCAAGGTCAGTTTCTTCTGGTATCCATTGTTTTGATTCAGAGTTCATGACTGTTTCCATAGTAATCAAGGCAAACACAGTGCTAGTTGCACATTCCTAATACCTTAACATATCCTGTGTTCTCATAGCTACTATATATCACCCATATAACCAAAAATTAAAATAATATTCTAAAATTCAAGCTATTTCATTAGGGTATTTGTAAATTGTAGCAATACTGTCACACGTCATCTACAAGCAATAACTATTTTTCTGTGGTGGGCGAGTGCAATCAGACCTTGCTGTAAGATGCAGATATTTAAATGCTTGGCTGTTAACCCTTAGAATTTAGATGCCTGACACTGTAATGCTTGCAGGATTATGGTCCCAGGGAAAGATGGTTCTGAGATGTGTAATGTGTTGTCCCCAAATATCTTTTATTAAATGACATTTTGGAGACTTGTCCATCTGAGAGACTTACTACTTCCCTCCATGCAGATGGCATTATGAAGATACTGCATCTGTAGAAGCCACAATCTGTGTGGAAACCAAGAGTACGCAAAAGTGAAGAGAGTGTGACTTACTCCTGTGGTGTGACTTCAGTAGATGGGGTTGCCTTTTCAAGCCTAATGCATTCTGGGCTTGCTGACCTTGTAACAAGCCTTACTCCAATATCAGCTCTGCCTGGGCAGCTAACATCTATAAAGGAAGGGGCCAATAATGCAATTCTAGAGAGGGAAAAAGGTTTTTGTTTGTTTGGTTGGTTTTTTGTTTGTTTGTTTTTGTTTGTTTGTTTGTTTGTTTTTTTTTTCTGGGACTAACTTTAGAATAAAGGAAATTATGTAGAAATGAGGTATCTGTTTTTCAAGCCTATATTATCAGGCATTTTAGCTCTGGTGAGAGTTACCTTTCAAGGCTTTTTGTTTGAATTAGTAAACTGAGCTGATATGGGTGTCTAGAAAAGACTCCAGTAACTATCAGTTCTTTCTGGGCTAGGGAAAATTGCTAGCGTAGTTATTTAGATTTTTTAAAAATAATGTAAAATCTCATGTTTATATTTTTAGACTCTTCAGAGCAAGAATCTGTATTGATTCTGTTTTAGGGTTGGGCTAGATTACACACAAGAATAATTTAGTGTCTTTCAGACTCAGTAAAGCAGTAGCAATATCATAGAAGATTTGGTAGTTCTTCACTTGGGCTTGTACTTCATTCTTACTTCTTAACTGCAACACATTTACAAAGGCTCTGTTTTTCCAAGAGTCACTGTGCTAGGTGAAAGTCAGAAGGCAGCTCTGGTTTTTAAGTTGTTCATTGGAAGTGAAACAAGACAGTAGATGTGGTGTGGAAGGAAGGTGTTGCCAAACAGTTTATGTACAATGCATTATAATAGATCAAGCTTTTAGCACTTCTTTGTAGAAGTTACCCGACAAGGTTTCTTGAATTGGCACTGCAGCATTCCATAATAGTCTCCTTTGGTGTCTCCAACCAGGACTTTGGGACAATCTAACTATTTTTTTTTTTTCCCCAAGCATGTCCCTGATTCATTTCCAAGCAGTCCTTCCTGAGAACCAATTGGGCAAATGCTTAAGAGCCTGATGTAGGGTCCATTGATATAAATATAAGTCTCTTGGTGCTGAAGAGATGGAAGCAGTTTGATGGGAGTTTTCAGTTGTAGGAAAGAGCTGTAGCAGAGCTGTAAGGTGGCAATTATTCTGGGGAAAAAAAAAAAAAAAGTAATAATCATTTTGCAGGTATTGGTTAATTTCAGTTAAAAAAAAACCCAAATACTGTCAGGTGTTCTTAATACTAACTCTGGGCCTCTCAGCTGGCAGTCTACAGAATGGGGAGTGTTAGAGCTTTCTTTCAACACAAAATGCATTCAGTAGGCTAAACTGTCTTAACAGGAAGTTTCATTCAGCCATGGAATGTACTGCAACATATGCTGTGCCTGACAAGGAAAAAGGAGTGCAGCAGTACCGGTCTGCTCTGAATGGGTTCCTGAAAAGTGGATGGTTTGTGATGTGATGGTTAGTGAAGCAAATTTTCCCCAAACGATTAATGGAATGGTGGGTTGTGGGGGGTATTGTGATGAGTGCAGAAACTTAGTAAATGTGCGTGAGTTACATTTGCAGGGATAGTATGCATGATGTGGAGGACTGGAAGGCAGGATCATGATCATCAGGACTGTCAGCTGGGGAGGTGTTAGCTTTTCAGGAAGTGGCTTTTCGAAGGGATCACTGCTCTGAAAGGTACCAGGTGCATCATCAATAAGATTAAATGGCTCACCATTACCCCATTTTTCTCTCCTGCACCTTGCTTAACTTGCTTAATCTTGATTCATGGGAGAAAGGTGAAGGCAATAAAAATGTATCTGTTGAAAGATCCAACCCAAAGCATAATGCAAAGAGGCAACAAGAACATTTACCATATAATCATCTGCTGGACTCATCAGAACCTGATAGACTGTGGTAAGGTTACAGAGAAAAGTAATATCTCAAGGGCAGGGATGAGGGGTAGGGTATGGGTAAGATTATTATGTGTGCTTTGTGGCTGATGGAGATTTTTTAGTTTTCTCCAAATTAATCTTGTGTTTACAGTTTTCTCCCGATTCTAATTTGATTCTGTTTTTTGAGAACTTGTATTTAATTGATTGCTCATGAATGTGGCAGCATGCCTTCCTGAGTACTAGGAAGGGTAATTTAATTTCTTACATGGTGTCTAAATTAGTGTTTGAATTGTTTAATAAGTGTAGATTTAGAAGAGTGGTTTTAATAATCTGTCAGTGTCTGTTTTACAAATGCTTCCACATGGTTAGTGAAATAATATTTGCAGCAATTTTGAGTTGAAAGAACTGTTACTCTCTGCATTCGGTAGACTACTAGCTGAGTCCCAGAGTTAGTATTAAAAAAATCTAATAGTTTTTGGAGTTTTTTTAACTGAAATTAACTGATATCTGCAAACAGATTTTATTTTTTCCATGATAATTACTATCACGAAGCATGTTTTGAATTCAAAGTATGACTCTTTTTAAGTTATAGAGGATTTAAAACTAGGAAACTAGTTTTATTTTGGGGGAAAACAGACTTTCTAGGTATCTATGGGAAATGGTGGAGCCAATACAGGGATAAAGATTGAACTTGAGGTCTCTAAAACAGCTTTCATAAAACTATTCTTTCTTTGCTTTGATTCTTTGCCTTGATCATATTTGTAATCTATTCCAAAATAAGTGAGGCAGGTAGCATGCAAATTATTTTCTCTTTTCAAAAGAAAACCTCATTTTGTTCCTGGAACACAGAAAATGTGTATGCACTGTAAAAAAAGATACTACCACAAAAAAACAGTATGTGATCATGTGGGAGTTCTGTCATCATCCATATGATGACTTAAAGTGGCATTATAACACTTGCTAATTTTAGTGTTTTACTTTGCAATATTGAAAATCTTCTTACAGGGTTTCGGTTTCTTTTTGTTCGGGTTTTTGTATCTGTATGTGAAACTCATGAA